AACAGATGGAGGCAAAACTCAAAAATACGAGGGCATCTCAAAAAACTATTGGAAGAATGGAACTTTTTGAAAGATAAACTTACTGGGGCAGTCATTTGGCAGAGTGGTTAAGATGCCACTTAGTGTGCCTTTGTCCCATATCAGAATGCCTGGATTTGAATCCCAGGTCTGCTGCTTGTCCCAGTGCCCTGCTGATGCAGGGCCTGAGAGGCAGTGGCTCAAGTAGCTGGGTTCCTGCCACTCCATGGGAGACCTAGATTGAATTCTCAGCTCCTGGCTTCAGCCTGGCCTAGCTCTGGCTGTTGTGGGCATTTAGGGAGTGAACCAGTGGGTGGAAGCTCTGTCAGACTGCTTCTCTCATTATCTGACATTCAAAAAAAAGTTTATTTTGTTGTAAAATAATTTGAAATGCATGCATGGTTTTTTCATTAATTGTTTTCTTTTTTTTTTTTTTTTATTTTTTGACAGGCAGAGTGGACAGTGAGAGAGAGAGACAGAGAGAAAGGTCTTCCTTTGCCGTTGGTTCACCCTCCAATGGCCGCCGCGGCTGGCGCGCTGTGGCCGGCGCACCGCGCTGATCCGATGGCAGGAGCCAGGAGCCAGGTGCTTTTCCTGGTCTCCCATGGGGTGCAGGGCCCAAGCACCTGGGCCATCCTCCACTGCACTCCCTGGCCACAGCAGAGAGCTGGCCTGGAAGAGGGGCAACCGGGACAGAATCCGGCGCCCCAACCGGGACTAGAACCCGGTGTGCTGGCGCCGCTAGGCGGAGGATTAGCCTAGTGAGCCGCGGCGCCGGCCCATTAATTGTTTTCTATAATTTTTCGTAACTTTCTATAACTTAAAAAAGGTTTATTTATTTGAAAGGTGGAGCAACAAAGAGAGGGGGAGACAGAGATCTTCCATCTGCTGGTTTATTCCCAAAATGGCTACAACAACCAGGTCTGGGCTAGGCTGAAATCAGAAGCCAGGAACTTCATTCTGGTCTCCCATGTGGGTAGCAGAGGCCTAAGTACTTGGGCCATCTTCTACTGTAAACCAGGCACATTATCAGGAAGCTGGATCAGAAGCAGAGCAGCCAAGACTCGAACCAGCACTCGATCTGGGATGCCAGCATCACAGGTAACAGTTTAACCCATAGGCCATAATGTCAGACCCTTCCATAACTTTTTAAAGATTCCTTGTATGTACTGATAATCTTCAGTCATAATTTCTTTTTTTTGGGAGGGGTTAAAATAACCTTTATTTTCTCAAAGCTAATAAGTGCATTACAGGCAACTTAAAAACACAAGAAGCAAAGAACAAAGTCATCTGCAATCACAAGTAGTTGAGTTCAACAGGTCCTCTGGGTCCCATGCGTGCACACACAACATCTGCTTTTATGTGACTGAGCTAGGGAATGTATGGATCCTGCTTTTTCACACTTCATGAATATTTATCAATTCAAAATCCCAAAGCTGTATGAGTATTTTGATAACCAAAAATATACTACATCAACTCAATCTGTTAGGAAAAATGTAGTTGATTTTCTTGGAAACAAAAATTTTGTAAAAGACAAAAATAGCAGCAGGTCTCTAAATACAAGTTTTGGCTGAGCTACAGTTAAGACGCTGCATTTCCTTACTGCCTTACAGTGATACAGCAACAGTGCATACTAAGTGTTCTGTTTGTAAGACAGTCCATGATCAGATTGGTATTAACAAAATATTAGCAAGGAGGCGTGTTTGCATTCACTTACTTAATGTACTCCTACAGCAAAGCCAAAAGAAATGCACATCCACCAATGGCTATCATCAAAATGTACGTAGGACACCTCTCGGTTTGTACGTCCTTCTGCCCCTCTGCTGCTAGTCCAGTGAGGAAGTTCTGATACACACGGACTGCTCAGAGGTGGTTTAACGATTCCAGGTCCATGAGGCATCTTTTCTATCAATTCTAACAAAAAGATATAAACTGCCTAATTCACCAGCTCTATTTTTTTTTAAAGATTTATTTATTTATTTGAAATTCAGAGTTACAGAGAGAGAAAGAGAGAGAGAGAGAGAGAGAGAGAGAGGTCTTCCATCTGCTGGTTCACTCCCCAACTGACTGCAATGGCTGGAGCTGCACCCATCTGAAGCCAGGAGCCAGGAGCTTCTTCTGGGTCTCCACGGTGCAGGGGCCCAAGGACTTGAGCCATCTTCTACTGCTTTCCCAGGCTATTGCAGAGAGCTGGATTGGAAGTGGAGCAGCTGGGACTTGAACCGGCACCCATATGGGATGCTAGCACTGCAGGCCGTGGCTTTACCCACTACACCACAGTGCTGGCCCCAACCGGCTCTACTTTTTATCATACATTGCTGTCATAATTTCTTTAAAGCTAATCTTGTCTTATTTTAAAGCTTAAATTTTCACAAATATGTTCAGTTTTAATGTAAAAATTTTGTATTTACGTAGCTCCTGTGGTAAGTAACTTTAGATACTTTAAGTATTATCACATTTAACTTTCCTGCTAACTGATGGAGCAAAATGACAATTGATAATTAATCATATTTTGGTTTAAAATATCTTTATAAAATAAAGTAGCTATGGGGCCGGCGCTGTGGTGTAGCATGTTCAGCCTCCACCTGCAGTACTGATATCCCAAATGGGTGCTGGTTCGAGTCCTGGCTGCTCTACTTTCCATCCAGCTCCCTGTTAATGCACCTGGGAAAGCAGTGAAAAGTGGCTCAAGTCCTTGGGCCCCTGAATCCACATGGGAGACCCCTGAGAAGTTCTTGGCTCATGGCTTTAGATCTGCCCAGCTCCTGTTGTTGTGGCCATTTGGGGACTGAATCAGTGATAGAAAATCTCTCTCTCTGTCTCCTTTTCTCTTTGTATTTCTGCTTTTCAAATAAATAAATAAACTAGTTTTTTTTAAATCTTTTAAAAAAGAAAATAAAGTAGCTAACATAATTATTATAATTAAACATTTAAAATGTAACTCATTGTAGTGAACTAGGTAAAATATTTCTGATATCAAATGGCAGCTTTTAGGAAATAAATCTCCAATTTGGAAATAACAGTTACATAATTTATTAGCATCATGTTGAAACTGTTAACTAATTGGTTTCAAAGTTTTCTTTTGTTTCATTTAACATTTTTTCTACCTAGTAACTTCTAATTTTTGTCAATGTATATGAAAGAGACTACACAGACCTGTTCTTTAGCAAAACCCTTTTAGAGAAATGCTATGCTTCTGTGGAAATAAAGAAAATACATTTATATAAAGTATATATGTGATAATGTGCCATCTTGATAATAATAACACACAGGCCAGATGTCTAAAACACACATATATACTTGTAGGTATATATGACATACTAGATTTCTGCTTAAAATGAGTAATTTTAAGGCCATGGTTTTAAAATGAGTCAATGAGGAGGTTGACTTACTAGAATTTAGATTATAATGCTTGCCATAGCTAATTGAACTGGCTGGAAAGCATGCAACAATGAATACCTTCTCTCAAATCATATCATATAGTTCACAATTTAGGGCTGAGACTTATATGCACAATACATACCCTTTCTCTTGCTGAGAGACACACATTACTTCACAACACACTTAGCTTATCTGCTGTTGAAATCTAGTTATGGGCACCAAGAATAAAATTTCATATAACATTTGGTCATCTAATTAAATCTTCTACTATCTTCTTAAGCTCCGTAAATACAAAAATTCACACAAATATATGTGCATTTTTTTCTCTACCATGATGGTGCCTTTGCTTCTATCCAACCAAAGCCATTTCCTGTTTTTGCAGTATTCCTGTGAAAACGACTAATAGCTGGGGAGGGAATGGGGCTTGCAGGGCAGACGTAGCTCTGTTGCTGCCCATGAGACAGCTGGGCTGCCACTGACTAGCAGGGCAGCCTCCAGGCAGGCAGCCTAACAGGGCACCTTGTGTGTTTCTTACCTACTATTAACAACATTTCAGTTGCAGATTCGCAGGGTTCCTGGGAAATTCTTATCTCAGTCATGTCCTGAGTATTCCCCAATCTCATGTTTCTATTTATTCTGGAGTGCCACTGATGCTGTGACTGATGTATGAGTTACAACTGGAATAATTCTGATTTAGGCACTTGTCATTATTAACATTTTATAGAAACCATTCTATATTTTACAAGAAATAAATACACTTGAACTATTGAAAGATGGTTATCAGAAGCAGTAGCCATTTCTAGGCAATCTCTTATCTAGCTCTGAAGTCATTCAACAATATTTGTTGAGAATGTCTTACATGTGTCCACGTGCCACTGGAAACTTGGGATGCAAAGGGAAGCTCTTAGGAGCTACTCCAGAGTTTGCTCACAACAGTTCCACGGATTACTAACCGCTCTTGCATGAACACAAAGTTCCATGAAAAAATACGTGCAAGAGACTGGTTTGTGAAGGTCAACAGATTCACTTGTGAGAGCTTACACGGAGAGCCACAGCACACGCAGTGTTTGCCGAGACTGTGGATGCGGCACCTTCCCACACTGTGTGCTGAGTGCATCCTAAGCAGCGCAGGTGAATAAAAGACTCGTGAGGAATCCCCTCAAGCAAGGAGACTACGTCTTGCTCAGTTTTTGCATCCTCCTGTCTAACCTGAAGGGCACGCGTATCGTTTCTTAAATGATAAACAGAGAACTTTACTGCACTACACAGTAGAAAGTCTAAACATCCTGAGGTACAAATAAGATCATAATCTAGAGGAGAAGTTGTATGCAGCCGAGCAAAGTCATGTGAGGTTTAACGGACCCAGTGACGCTGCAGGAAGCTCCTGGAGGACGGGGGCATTTGGAGACTCGGGAAGTCTGCTGAGGCGATTTGGGAGTCTCCTAGGTTGAAGGTGACAGCAGATGCTCATTTTTACACTTCGAACACAGATTTCTTATTTTTAAATCCTTATAATCTCAAAAAACTACTAGGAAAATCAAGTAGGAAAAATATACTGAAATGAAATGACAATCAAAGGACAACTCTAGACAAACACTCACTGCTATTAGGGTTGTCTCCTATGATGTGGTGCCGGCCACTCCAGTACCAGAGAAGCAGCGTGGCATCTCGGGATCCAGACACAATGTAGCAGTCCCCACCGATGTATGACTCAGACCTGGCCAAGCAGGTGACCACGTCCCAGTGGCCAAATACAATCTGAGTCAATTTCCCTGAAACACAGAAAGCACAGGTTCACCTCATTCCTTTTTCTTTAAATGGTAATATGCTGAACTTCATTTTACCAGATTCGTTAACAGTGAATCTAGAGACTCACAAATTTACAAGATAATTCAAATCTAGTTATAGGCACCTGCCTGAAATGCTTCTAAAAATTAATATAAGAATATTATTCGGGATTTTTAAAGATAGGGACTTAATTACACAGTTATGCTTTTTGCCTCTAGGTTTGGGGTGAACTCAGGAAAGAGTTAAGGTCTTTTACTGCATACAAATTTGGAGATGGAGACAACAGCTCCATTTGTTGCAAGAACTAGGGGGTCAAGACAGAGTAGATGAAGTTATAGGTTATTAGCTTACAATGTAAAGACTCAATTTGAATCTTGACCAATCATGCTAGCAAATGATGAAAACGCTTACAACATTAAGTAGATTTCATATTACTGGTTGTAATTCACAGTTCTTTTGAAGAGAACAAGATATTTCACAGTAAAGGTTACCTGTTTCTGTAGAGTACACTCTGAAGCTCTTGTCCCAGAATCCACAGATAAGAATATAACGATTATCTGCTGTGACCACAAAACAGTGTGCATTGATTTGTATACTCTGGTCCACAAGGTCTGTGATTTGCCGTTTGTTCACACCAGAGTTATTGGCTGAAAAACACACAGGAAAAAAGAATTGAAAGAAGATCCCAGAAGAGTTTCCTCAAGCACTTATAGAAGAAAAGGAGTACTTTTATCTTTCATTTATCTAGAAATAGAGTTTTAAAGCTCCAAAATTAGAAAAAAGCTCCAAAATTAATCAGAGTTTAACAATTTCCCTTGAGAAACATAAATTTCTTCAGCAGTGGTGGCTATTTATGAGCTATATTTCTATTTAAACAGTATGCCAGACACTTAAGCACTTCTTCAACCAATAAATAAAAATATGAGGAATTTAAGGCAATGGATTTAAAACATGGCATTTAAATGCATTTAATTCCACAGATGTTCATTATGTACAAGTTCATCAATATCCTCTACGAAACAAATGAGGAATAAAAATGGTATGAAGTATAAAAGGAAAAAAAAAACCTTAATATTTGCCCCAACCCGTCATTTTACCATGACATTTTCAATTCATGTAAACAGTAGATGGTAGAGATTTGAGCCAGGATGTTGCTATGTGGGCAGCCCCACAGGGAGCTTCAGGTCAGCAGCTTTAAAGGACCTAGATTGTCAGCAAACAGAAGGCCTTTCCAGAACGGGCTGGCAGGGGAGGAGAGGAATCAAAAATATGGGAGAGACTGCGGAAGGAAGATACAGGCACAGAATCCATGTACAGCACTGGGACTGGATCTGAATAAAGGCAGGAACTCAGAGACACTGTCTGATTTCCCCAGTGCACGTCTGGATGCCAGCTTGTCCCTGACGCTACGCTGTCCTTTCAGGCGAAATCCCTGGACTGAATCCTTAAACAGAAAATGCCGAAGGTCACCACCACCACTTCTAACACCAACTAAAACTAAGTGGCACTCTCTGTGGATACCTTCTAGCACTGTAAAAATAATTATTGGGGAAGACAGGAAAACAAGAACAACAACTACACAAAATTTTTTAAAAAGGCAGTAAGGCAAAAGAAAACCAAAGGTCCTGGGCCATGTGGAAACTATATATTGCTTCTTGATTCATTAGAACACAGCTGTTAATTTTCTCGTGGCTATACACTAGCTACATATTTCAATGTCAGTGTCTGCTGGGAGGAGGAAAAGCTAGATTAGGACCCCAAAAATATTTCCAGACATGGAAATGCCATCTGGAATAAAAGTAAAGTTAAAAGTAACAAACTGAAATGGCCGTGTCTTTTTCTGGGTTCAACATCAAGGATTAATTTAATTTTTTTTTTTTTTTTTTTTTTGACAGGCAGAGTGGACAGTGAGAGAGAGAGACAGAGAGAGAAAGGTCTTCCTTTGCCGTTGGTTCACCCTCCAATGGCCGCCGCTGCAGCCGGCGCACCGCGCTGATCCTGGCAGGAGCCAGGAGCCAGGTGCTTTTCCTGGTCTCCCATGGGGTGCAGGGCCCAAGCACCTGGGCCATCCTCCACTGCACTCCCTGGCCATAGCAGAGAGCTGGCCTGGAAGAGGGGCAACCGGGACAGAATCCGGCGCCCCAACCGGGACTAGAACCCGGTGTGCCGGCGCCGCAAGGTGGAGGATTAGCCTATTGAGCCACGGCGCCGGCTGGATTAATTTAATTTAAGAATAAAACACCACAATTCAAAAACAACGTAATAAGTTTTCATAGCATTTCAATTTTTTTCTCTAATTTTCTAAGTAACCCATGAGATAGGGAGAATAAACATTATTATAAGCCACTGTGCAGATATGAAACTGAGAGGCCTAGAAAGATTAGGATCTGCTCTGAATCCTAAGGCTTATGTGCATATGTGTGTATTATTCACAGATATTTTGACTATTTGCTGCAGAGTTACAGCTCCTTGATGATAATTTGATGTTACCTGCAGCTTAATTTTGTGGCCTAAAAATACTTTTCAACTATTTTTGTGAAAAATAACCATGTAAGAATTTGTTGATAGTACCCTTGAAAATTTTATTTTTATTTGTTAACACACCAATTAATGGATCCATTTCAATGGGAAGATGATGGGCTTGATCCAGTGAGTATCCTGGAGCTCCTCTGAGGCCTAAAGATTTAAAAAGTAAAAAAAAAAAAAAAAAGATTAAAAATAAATACTGTAAAATTCTCAGAAAGAAAGAATTTTCTAAGGAGTATTGGTTTATGATAACTATATAAAACATATACTTTTAAAAAATATTTATTTATTTGAAGGTCGCACATATACACATGTGTGCACGCATACACACACACACACACACACACACAGAAAGTGAGAGATCTTTTATCTCCTGGTTCACTTCCCAAATGGCCACAATGGCCAGAGACGGGCCAGGTGTAGCCAAGAGCCAGGAACTCCATTTGGACTTCCCATATGAGTGGCAGCGGCTGATGTACTTGGGCCATCTTCTGCTGCTTTCCCAGGCCCATTAGCAGGAAACCAGATCAGAAACAGAATAGCCAGGACTTGAACATGCACTCTGATATGGGATGCCAACATTGCAGGAAGTAGCTTAACCCACTATGCCACAATATTGGCCGCAAGATATATTTTCTTTAAAAAATTATTTGGTAGGTCATTTTAAGAATAACTCAGTCACATTATGTGTCTTCATAGATAGTATAAAAATCATCACAACTGGGGCTTCATGTCTTTGTTTAAGCTACAGAGAGCTGTAAAGTTTGCTGTTCCCATCCTAACAATAAGAAACAACTTGATAAAACAGAACATTGTTATAGACTGACCATGATTTGGTTCTCAAACTCATGCAGGCATTTAAATGCTAAAATCATAGAGTAATGGTTCTAAGAGGGTGGAAACAATTCAATTATTTGTAGGTAGGGCTTTTGTGAAAGGATTGGATTGGATTAAGTCATTAGGTGAGACCCCCATGATTAAATCCTAGTTGCTTTATAACAGACTACATAGATACAGACAAGCAGGCTTCCTTTTGATACGTGATGCTCTGCATGGCCAGCAAGATTGCACTCATCAGAGACCAAATCAATATGGCCACTCAATCTTTGACTGTGAACTCCAAAACCATGAGTCAAAATAAACCTCTTCCCTTCATAAGGTTGACTGTTTCAGGTATTTACATAAAGTGACAAAAAATTGACTAATAAAAAAATCATAACATTTCTTGAACCCATCAGAAAGCTAAGGTCACTGGGTGACAAATGAGCCTAGAATGAAAGAAAAGATAGTGCCACTAGCAGGGATGTTGCAAATACAGGCGTCTTTGGGGGCAGGGCAGAGTGGAAATTGGGTTTCCCTCCATCCAAGGAGGCTTTGAATCACTGTATGATCAATATAAAATAAGCCACACTTATAATCTTAATCTCACTAAAAGCTACATTCAAGGAATTAACATTTAGGTCTTGTTTGAGTTCATTAGTCAGATGTTTTTTACTTATGGTTACAGAATATATAATACTTTTAAACAATTTTAAAGAAAAATTTAGTCCTTTGTAGCTTTCTCTCAATGCAAGCCATTTGTGGAGGCTAAGACTGCTGTGAATAATGAAGTCATATTTTTCCCGAAGATGTTTGCTGCATACTTCTGACTGAATGGAAGAAGTGCTACCTCATGTTGATAATATCATCAATAACCATAAAATAGGTGTACATACAAACTTGCCAGAGATAAAGCCCTCGTATAAATCACTGCTTTTTTAGGGCAAAGTAGAAGTCAGGAGAATAGAAAGATTCAGGTTAACTCAGCATGGCTCATCTATGCCCCCCTGGAGGCAGTGGAAGCCCAGAGGCTTCCAGGGAGATCGTAAGTGATAAACTGAGCCAAGTAAATCATTTGGTCACATCCACTTCTGACCTGGTTAAGCAAGTATCAATATGTCTAAATTTTTGCGACAGCATTTTATCAATTCAAGATGTACTGGTTGGAACTTCCAGAAATGAATTTGGAGAAAACACATGTGCAATCACTGAACAATTTGGAGTTTGTCTTTTCTCAAAGCCTTTAAGCTCCACAAGGATAGAGATGGTGTTTGTCTTGTTTAATGCTATCTTCCAAGTGCACAGGAATATTGAACACATAATAGCCATTTGTATATTTGTTAAATAAATTAAGGGCCATCAATCAAGAGGATCTGAAGCCATCATCCAGAAAAGCTAGATTCAGACTCACTTTTGTTTAAAAAGGGATAAACTAGGGGTGTTTTGGGGGAGAGCAGTGACAGAACAGGGTGAGAAGTCTTGTGTCAATTTATCCGATACTTATTGAGTACTGAATTATGAAGCAAACATTCCATGAGGCACTCATACACAGCAGCAATAAATAAGACAGAATCATTTGAGGCTTCACGTTTATTCTGCTGGTTTCTGTAGATAATGTGGCATACAGGCTAACCACCTCCTGAAACCTACTTTATTATTTTAAAAAATTTACTTTTTTTATTTGAGAGGGACAGAGAGAGAGAGAAAGAGGGAACGCAAAAGCAAGCATGTGCTCCAATCTGCTAGTTCATTCTCCAAATGCATGCAATGGGCGAGGTGGGCTGTGGCCAAAGCCGGAAGCTGGGAACTCAATCCAGGTTTCCCAGCTGGGTAATAGGAATCCAGTTACTTAAGCCATCATTGGTGCATGCCAGAGTCTGCACTTGCAGGGAGCTAGAGTCAGGAGCTGGAGCCAAAGGGAGGAAAGGAACCCAGGTACTCTGATATGAGATGTGGGAGTCTTAACTGGTATCTCAACTGCTAGGCAAAATACCTGTTCCCTTGCCCCCTTTATGCTTTTCTCGCCTTAAATTAATTGTTGCTTTAAGAAATCATTAGTGAGTGGCTTGTTTAGGTGCACATACCTACTGTGTTGTGCCATCTATTCACTGCGAACAGTCGGCTGCAGGTCACCGTCACCACCGCAGGGATGGTCAGGTGGGGTAGGGTGTTGGCAGCCACATGGGTGACTGGAGAATTTGATGGAAACTTCAGCACCATTATCACATCCTGTTGCATCTGATCTTTAAACATGAGTGGACTCTGTGGAAGGAAACACTGTTGAGTAGAAAGAGAAGAGGGCAGAAGAAAACAAAAGGGATAACACAGTTAGTGAAAGATACAGGGTGAACGAGGTTAACACAGAAGAGGCTTGCGTGTGCACACGGGGGGAGAACAATGCAGTCTGAACTTCTCTGCTGGTGAATGCCTGCCAGAAACAGAGCAGCTTTTTTTGGAGGATGGCACAGGGGGGAAACAACAAGGACTCTGTTGCAGTCACTGACAAGAGACACTCAATTATCTCAGCCATCAGCCTCAACTTAAATATTGTCTGACTGCAAAGTGAAATGTTAGCTCACAGATGCATCTACATGATGGAAACTAATTATTCTGTGTAGTTACACAATTGGCTGGGTGGAAGAATTAATCAACCCAGTGACTGACACTGTCTACATGAAATACAAAGTGAACTGACACTTTCATCTTTATCTGGGTGATCTGTGGTCACAGCCACAGTCTCAAGAGTTAGAATATAATGTTCTCCACAGAGCAGTCTGAGAATTTCTGCTTGGACACTGACTGACTGTTGACAACTGATGCCTTCTTTCTCCTTGTAGACTGCCAGCTTCCTGAAGGCCGGCACTGTTTCTTTTTTTAGCCTTTGTTTCTCAAACATCTAGTGCATGTCTTGATAGAATGTAGATACGATAAGAACTGCAAAAACACTATAAATGCTACCATATAAATATATAAAGTAGGGATGCTGGAAATAATCATTATGTAGCCTTCATACGTATTTTATAATTGTTTCTTGTATATATGAATTCTCTGCTATGCTAACTTAGAAAGCTTAGATTTTCTTTATGAACAGCTCCATGTCAATTTAGTCTCTAACAATTTCCCCTAGGAAAGTAATGAATTCTAACTGGGCATTTCTCCAGGATAAATATTATTATTGTTGTTGTTGTTGTTGTTGTTAAGCAGAGACACTAACATGGGAATAAAACTCTTCTGCCAAACTATTTCATAAAATAAAGTGCTGGAGATACTCTCCTGGACAGTTTATTAAAATGCTTCATCTCGAGACTTCAGCCTCCAAGCCACATCCCTAAGTCTGTACTGTGAAAGAACAAACAGCTTGTGTGGGAACCGCTTGGGCTGGTGCAAACCTCTCTGTTTTGGCACACAGAAGCACCAACTGCAGTCAGAAGAGTTATTTATTGACCGACTAAGGGGGCTGAAATTGTTTGGTGGAGTTAGGAGGAAAAGGTGCTTTAAAACAAACACAGTATCTAGGTGTAGCCAGTGCTCTGACTACTGGTTCCTTGAAGGCAGAGAAGATGCACTTGACAGTACTGTACCTCCAAAGCTTGGCAGCATATTTGACACACAGAAGAGTTCAATAGAAATTATTAAATAACCATTTGCGAAATAAATGAAAGGGACAAAATAACAGCTTATAAATTTATTTACACATATATTATGGATTATATTCTAGAGCTCTTTATTATAAAATTTGGGCACTTATTGTAATCTAGAAAAATTGATGAAGCTGTAATTTGTTTTATAAGTGGATTTTTACCTTCAATCATTTTTTAAACAAAAAATTAGTGAAAAATCACAGTTTGAAAAATAAATCACAAGGAAGTTTCTCAGGAAATTTCTTACCTTCTTCAAATTAGATAGAGAGAGAAATATTTAATATTCACTGATAAACTGAAAAATGGATTTTTGCTATAAAAACTGACTTAAAATTCAGCTTAAAATAAAAACTGTATGAATATTTCCCTTGCAAAATGAAAATAAAGGCTTAATATAGGCAGCTATAGACAAAGATGTCAGCTAACTTATTGTACTGTGAGTGCTGGTTTAAGTGTTAGTACTGGGCCTTTGAATTCTCAGTGTAAGTACTAGTTTACTCCTAAACCTCTTGGCCACATCATTTACTAGTTAGGGGCAGAGACAGTGTCAGCCCATGTAGCCTGGGGGCTCTTACTTGTAACCACTCTTGGGCAGCCTCTCAGCAGTGACCATAAATTACTTTTGTATTTCTTCTCTTTTCTTAAAATGAACTACTCTCCCTATCCTACCTTGCCCCAAAAGATTAAATTTGGCAATATAATATTATATTGATATTTGCATGGTAATTTACAAATCTGATGCAATTTTGGTGCCAGTGTAAGTCTGTGCATTTGTGTGTGCATGAATGGTTTTCTGTACAGGCAGACACAAAGATGGCTATTTCTGTAAATCCAAAATTGGGCCAGCTTAAGCGGGACTTAAGGCAGCAATTACATTCCCTTCTCTGTTTCTCCCTTGGGGTATCAGTGTATACTTAGTCTGAAGAGTTAACCAATAAATCAAGAAGTCTTTTTAAATGCTGCTAAAATCATCATTTTGTTTGCTCTATAGCTAGATACAAAGGGAAGGAAAAAATCTCCACACGCTAGTATGCCTTACCAGGTGCATGGCAGAGCTCCGAGGCGGATGTGGCTCAATAAGCAACTGAGATGGCGTCTGTCCAAAGTTCTGTATCTGTGCCTCCATGGCCTGCAGGGGAAAGGGGTGACTGTCATAATCAATATGCATCAAAGACAGAGGTCAACACACTCTTTGACAATGCAAGTGTATCCCAAGTCAGCCATGAAAAAAGTCCAGAAAAACCACCGGGTGCTCTTTTCTCAGGGTGCAGAATCATCCAAGTGTTAGTATTTTGTAGACAAGCTTTACTTTTCCTTCTGCACATGCTTCAGTTAACCAAGTCACTGTTCTTACTTCCAGAAGCTGGGGTTAAATGTGAAAATGCTAACCTGTGAGCTCATGCATGCAGCTGCAGACCAAAGAATACTCTTAATATTAAATACAACACAGATACCTTAATAAAGTCCTTTGTAAGAAGGAATGTATGGGGATCTCTAATGAAATAAGCTTCTGGAATCTTAATGGGGGAAAAAATGAGACATAGAGCCACCAATGAAACAAAATAAAATTCAGAAAATCATACGTTCCAATCAATTCAGAGGGCAATCAGTAAAAAGAACACTAAGATTTTTGTAAAATAATTAAATATGGCACAATTTTCATTATAAAATATATTTTAGCTATTTTAAGATGAATCTGGGAATACTATTTATAAGATATGAATTCATTTCTCTCAAATTTTTTTCCGAAATATTAAAGAAAACTCACCCAAAAAGGAAAGGATTCTTTGGGTATACTGAGCTATATGTTAGTAGATGAGAGCCTATACAGATGTAAATATTAATGAGACTTTATTTCTTCCCAATGAATAAAAATAACTCACACTTCAGTTTGGATTGTACAATATGCCTTTTCTCTCTCTCTCTCTCTCTCTGTGTATGTGTGTGTGTGTGTGTGTGTGACTAAGAGAAAAACTTATAAGACACTTCAGTATTTTTACATATAAATTTTATAGGCAAAATATTTTAATATAATAAGCTAGACTAACAGAATATTTTTGTGAACTATTATAAGAATGTAATTTACGTCAACAAGGAGAAGCACAATATTTACTATGATCATTACTCTGTTACCAGGCTAATTTTTCTCCCAGAATTACATGCAATTTGGTAGCACATAAAAGTGAAATACGAAAACTACTGCTGAGTACTTGAAGGAATGCAGGTAAGCTGGTAGATGGCTCTTGACACAGCTCTGCCAGCATCACTATCTATAATTCTCATTTATAAAGTACTTAAATTTAACAATCTGTCCTCCTAGACTGCATTTCAAGAAAATGTTTATCAATAAAATGTGAACTTTCAAATTTATTAGCAATATTAAACATGAATGCATCATTATCTGCCATATTTCAGCAATTGCACAAATGAGGTTTTGGTCCTTTTATTTGCAGAGGCAACAGGATGTATTACTAAATCTCTTTTAAGTGCTGTCCAATTTTAATGTATACATTTATTTGCATGGTGTCCACTTCCATGCATAGCATGACTATGTAACTAAATTGTAATCACACAGACATCATCATACTTTGTCTCCTCAATGCAAGATTTATTTTATAAAAGGGGGAAGATACCATTTCTGTTTAGGTTGATATTACTCACATACTCTTGAGAATTATTTGTGGGGCGGGGGGAACAGCAGCAGTTTTATTGTTAAAGCTGCCCTAGTTAGCATATGTCCAATATGTAGCTTCAAGTATCACAGACAACTAAAGTCTCTAACAATAGGTACTTTACCTTAGTTTTCACTACTCAGAAAAAGGACTCCATGTGAGAAAGAGGCTGGGGATTAAATTAAAACCCACTTAATCTCAAGATCAATACTTTACACTTATTAGGTAGCCTTTAATGTTCTTTGAAGGAATGAATCAACAAACATGTTTTTTGTGGTGCAGTGGGTTAAGCTTCTGCTTGTGATGCCAGCATCCCATATAAGTACCAGTTCAAGCCCCAGCTACTCTGCTTCAAATCCAGCTTCCTGCTAATGTACCTGGGAAGATAGTGGAAGACAGTCCAAGTACTTGGGCCCCTGCACCCACATGGGAGACCTGGCTGAAGTTCCTGGCTACAGGCTTCGACCTGGCCCAGCCACAGATGTTGCAGCTGATCTCTGTGGTTCTGCCTTTCAAATATGTAATAAACACCATTTCTTAAATGAAAAGACAACCTATTCCCTGAATTTAACAATTTTTAAATTTAAATATTTATTTGAAAGGCAGAGTTAAACACACACACACACACACATGCACACAGATCTTCCATCTGCTGGTTCACTCCCCAGTGGCCACAATGTCCAGGGCGGGGCCAGACCAAATCCAGCAGCCTGCAACTCCATTCAGGTGGTGGCAGGAGCCTAAGCACTTGGGCCATCTTTTGCTGTTTTCCCAGGTGCATTAGCAGGAAGCTGGATTGCAAGTGTAGCAACCAGGACTTGATTCATTGCTCAAATGGGACACCAGCCTCCCAGTTGGAGGCTTAATCCAATGTGCATTACTCCAATATTATCTTTTAGTTATTTTGTAGTTATCCTGTCTGACTCTCTGATTTAAAAACATATAGGTCATTTCAATCTTGAAAATTCACACTGTCTCCTCTAAGTTTTATTTCTTATTGTTACTAAAATGTTTGAATGGGAAGTGAGCACTTGCTGTCTTTCTTCACCTGTTTCCTGGCCTCATGTTTTCTGTCCTCCCCCACTTTTAGGGAGTTGTTGATAACTTGTCAAATCTGTAGGTACAGTGTGCAGGAGAGTGGCCTGGTGATACACAGGATCCATTCTGCGACCCATAAATCATGACAACAAAGAGGTTGATCTAAAATCCTCCCAGAATGGTGACTTTGGTCAGGGATTTAAATCCTTCATTTGCCAGACTCTCAAAACCATAATGAATGCCCTCCACATTGTTACAGCACTTTGTCCACTTAATTATGGGATTTAACACACAGTTATCCATGTATGTATGCTTGCTCACACTGAAAACCTCTGTAAGCCAGGACTGTTGACTTAGATTTTATGGAGGCTCTAAAAATATTTGCTGAATATAGAAGTGGGACATTTGTACAAAACTGAAAGTCCAAAAAAAGAATAGCACAATAGTATAGAAAAGTCCAGAGTTCTTCACTTTTACAGTTCAACACCACCAAAACAATTAAGTCCACAAATACTTGTTGCATAATTACTATATGCCAAGGGACACAAAGTCAGACACTAGATTGCCCTCAGGAAGCTAGAGTTCCAGAACAAAGGAAGGTGAGTACGTCAGTGCTGGGCAGGTAGAAGGCTGACAGTGGAGATGAGCCCAGAGGAGCGATAAGTGAAAGGGGGAGTGTGGCTCACATTTGAAGACAAAGTTGGAATTAGCTAGTCAAAAAACATGAAAAGAAATTTTCCCTTAATACAGAAAGCAAAACGAAAATTACTACACAGATTTATAAAGTAGATTCTTTTTTTCCTTTTTAAAGATTTACTTACTGTACTTGAAAGGCAAAGTTACAGAGAGGGAGCAACAGAGGCAGAGAGAGAGAGAGTGAGAGAGAGAGAGAGAGGGAGAGAGAGATGGATCTTCCATTCGCTGGTTCACTTTCCAAATGGCCGTGACAGCTGAAGCTGGGCTAGTCCCAAGCCAGGAGCCAGGAGCTTCTTCCAGGTCTCCCCCTTGGGTTCAGGGGCCCAAGGACTTGGACCATCTTCCACTGCTTTCCAGGCACATTAGCAGGGCACGGGATTGGAAGTGGAGCAGCTGGGATTGGAACTGGCGCCCTATGGGACGCAGGTGCCACAGGCAGCGGCTTAACCTGCTACACCACAGCACCGGCCCCAGATAGATTCTTTATCATAAATGGTATTTTAAAAAAGCAACAGATTTGTATATACTGTTCTGCATGGATGAGAGATATTTCATGTTACCTCTATTTATTCATAAGATACATATTTATTGAGCACCAATTAAAATACCAGGTATTATTCTAGATACTCGTGATAGTTATCAAACATCATGGGTAAAGACTCCTGCCTTCACAGAGCTTATACTCTGCTTGAGGTCACAACTGGAATCCCATGGGCTAGATTTAGCTCATAGAAATGGTTTCTGTTTGAGCCAACACTTGTAGGTCAGGAAACTTCATACAATAAATTGGTGTTTTAGGTTTCCCTCCAAAAAATTAGATCTAGCAATACTGCATCAGCATTCCTGTGCAACTACCCTTTGGTAATGCCTATTGCTCTTGTGACCTATGCATATATTGATACTTTTGCTTCTAACCTTATTCTGTCTGTTGCATATAGATGGTGGGGTTTGTGAAGTTTTTTGAAATCGAATAATCAAAACTTTTGCACATTTCAGTGAAAAAAGAAATGAAATAACGCAGTAAAGTAAGCTCATGAGCATGTGCAGTGTAGTATGGAAAAGACAGTAACTTTGGAAAGTCTTATCACTGGATATATCATTAAAAATAAAAAAAAGCTTCCAATTACAAAATGCATAGTTGACTGTAAGGCACATCATGATTGTAGTGCTGAGATATGTAAAAGATTTGCACCATGGAATCACTGAATTATAGTAACTTTTAACATAAACAATAATGACACGAGTCTCATGTATTTCACACAATTCTAACATGGGTAATAGGCTTAAACCACTAGAACTTTCTTTTTTCTTTTTCTTTCTTTTTTTTGTTTTGACAGGCAGAGTGGACAGTGAGAGAGAGAGAGACAGAGAGAAAGGTCTTCCTTTGCCGTTGGTTCACCCTCCAATGGCCGCCGCGGCTGGCGCTCTGTGGCCGACACACCCTGTTGATCCGATGGCAGGAGCCAGGTGTTTCTCCTGGTCTCCCATGGGGTGCAGGGCCCAAGCACTTGGGCCATCCTCCACTGCACTCCCTGGCCACAGCAGAGGGCTGGCCTGGAAGAGGGGCAACCGGGACAGAATCCGGCGCCCCGACCGGGACTAGAACCCAGTGTGCCAGCGCCGCAAGGTGGAGGATTAGCCTTAAACCACTAGAACTTTCAAAATAAATGTTTCTCTCTGTCTCCCTCTCTCACTCACTGTCCACTCTGCCTGTCAAAAAAAAAATGTGACTGACAAAACCTTTGGTGTTCTACATATTTGAAAGACTAATATATCCATCTTTGGTAGGATAACATGAAATGTAGATCTTATACTTAAATGATAGTATTCTTCCTCAGTCCTTTGTAATTGCTGAGTTTATTTCTTTTGACTTAAAAGTTTTTATGTATATTGTCATTTGTTTCTCATTTTTTAAGGTTTGAGAGAGATAAAGCACACTAATCCTAAGCATACAGTTTGATGGATATATACATATGTGTGTATGTGTGTGTGTACCTTTCCACCTCTTATAACCACTACCTAGATAGAGGATTCTGGAATGGAATTGGAAGCTTCCATATCTTGTTTGGGTGGTGGCTACCTGAGAGTATACACTTGTACAGCTTACCTTG